ACTGGCACTGGCACTGGCACTGGCACTGGCACTGGCACTGCTCGACGGCGACGTGCTGGGGACGGACGCGATGCCGTAAACAATTACGAATCCGCCCACTCAGCACTCGTGCGGCTGAGCGTTTGCAGCAGCGGGTGGAGGGCGGTGGGCAAGGCCCAGGGTCCCACCCAGGCCGGCAGGGATGGCGGCGCGGGCGTGCATGCGATAAGGACGGCTGGCTGGTCGTGCTGGCCATGGTGAAGCTCACCGACATGTTTGTACCCCGCCCTCCGCCTGCCCGCTGCCTGGCTGCTGCCGTCCCTGGCGCTGAGACATGTCCTGTGTACTGTATGTACTGTGCTCTAGCCTCACCACGGCGGCCTGCGCTGCCGTCTCGCGGCGCCGGCGTCGACGCTGCACAGGGCCCCGCGGCCTTGCAGTCCCGGGCCTCGCGCCAGATCGCTGAGCTGCACCCTCGACGATGAAATGCGCAGGACCGCCGATGCCCGCCAAGCCGTGGGGAAAGGCGCGGGCGGCCAGGCTGGTTGCCATGTACTGTTACTGTGTACAGTACTCCGTACCTAGGTAGGCACTGCGACATGACAGCCCGCTCGTCGCATGCGACATGCATGCCCTGTGGCGGTCGGGCGGCGTCCCACGCATGGACTGCTGGGGACTGAGCACGGCTGCGAGCGTCCAGGCGGCGTGGCCCATACCCATCTCTCATGAGTCCCATCCATTGCCTCTGCTGCCTCGTATCCGCATAAAGAAATCGAGGGCGCTGTGCTGTCGGTGTTGCACCATGGCTGCCCTAGCCCCGCTTTTCGCGCAAAATCCACCCGCATGACGCGACGTCAGGAAGGCGCGCCTGCTATTTTAGGCAGCTGCCACCAATCGCTGCGCGTTGCGGAGCGGCCGGCGCGCAGATCTCCTTCCCTTCGCGGCCTTATCATCCTCGACTGCCCATCTTCATATCCACTTGCCTCGACGTCTCCAGCGGTCGTGTACAGTAGAGTGAGTAGAGCACCATGCTGCTCCGTTCACATCTCCTCCCGTGTACTCTGCCACCTGCTCAGACCGCCACTCCCCATACGTCATACACAATCGCAGAACTCCCCGAAGAACCAAGCAGTGTCGTGGGCCGCAGACATTCCACTCCCCCCCGTCCCCCCACCCCCATCGCAACTTTTCACGCTGTGCCGGCGACTTCTGCTCAGAGTAAACGCTGCTCTTCATTCGTACAGCCTCTGGATGACCGAATGGCTGATTGCTCTGGCGCTACCACAACGCTACCCCAAAGTGTCCGCGCAGTCGGCACTCAGTTACCACTCTTTCTGCAAGCCCCGTGTAGGAGTGGGTCTGTGGCGGTTCGAAACGCACACCTGCTGGTGTACCACTCGAAGCACATCTGCGAGACGATAGTTTGGTAATCTAGTTGACCCTTACTGTTAGCGTGTCGCACTCGGCAGTACTTGAAAGTGTCTGTTCCGAGACAGCACACCAACGCCCCTCTGATACCGCCAAGTGGTGAATTCGATCAGTACCCTAAAGTACAAAGATCATTCCTTCTTGATTGGTAGCTAATACTTAGCACGATTTTCGTTTCGTCATGGCCCGTCTCTATCGCTACACGGATATTACACCTACGACATGTCAATCGCATTACAATTCACAACTGCCGCGTCTCACGTCTCAACTGAACAACCTTCAACGTCGAGTTCAACAATTGCAGCCATTTCAATGCTCTCCGCCAATCAGGCTTTGGCATGTCTCTAGCCGTCAACAACATGTACCCCGCATAGTCCAATCGCCGTCTAGATCACCCAGACCCACATGACGAAGCTTTCGTGGCTGTCCGTCCAACGTCACGCAAACCGCATTTCCGAAAAAGAGGCTACATCCGCCTGCAGACTTGGAACCACAGCCAATCGCGTTTTTTAAATCACAATTTTGTTAGTTGAGATGATCGGTGAGGCCGCATGGCCGCTACCCGCAAGATCTCAAGAGACTGCATCCAAGGATCTGGAACTGCGTGCTCGGGAGATCTTTCGCATGCACGTATGGTGTCTGGATTCCTCGCATGCTCGATCAAGCTCCGGTGCTGGCAAGCTCAAGTCGGGCGCCACTCGTTTCATCCTTCTCAACGGTCCGACAATCCACAGTCACAATCCCCAGATTTAGCCCTGTGCCAGGGTCATCCGTGTAGCTTTGAGTCGGATAGCCATGGCGCATTTCGATCAAGGCGGCACAAATTCGATGTGATCGATCTGATCGCTCAGCTGTACTCTATGCGATAGCCCGTCGAACCCATGCCTCATCAAGGTCAGCTATTAGGCACATAGGTTGGTAAGTCCGCTATAACTGTAGAAATTGCAGTAGTCGTCTGTTGCTTTTCACGAACCCAGCAACTGTCTTATCCCAGATACATAGAGTCTTACCATTGAGCGAATATGTTCAAACGACTAAAGACAGTCCCTCTGTCTTTTGCAAACGAGTTGGTTAACTGTCAACCAAGGCTGGAGCGCAGCGCGGCCGCATCAGTCACACATTTGATATATGAGATATGACTGCCCGTTTCGACCATGTAAAGCCACTCACCTGAGCACCTGTGTCCTACAGAAGTAACTTACTCGAACGATGCCAGGTATCATATCGGCGTTATTACTTTGGCCAAGGGGTATATACAAGCTAGCCTTTACTCTCTCTCTCTCAGAGCTATTGTCTAAAAATGCATCCTCGACGGTGTTGCGAAATAGAAATAATGTTTAAAATGCAACATGATCTAGTACTTGCTTTTTGACCAGCATGCCTTTTAAAATCTTGGCTGATAGGGAACTTTTTCTCGTTGGGCGAGAGTGCAGTCAGAGCGCTGTTCTGCATTCTAGACTTGGTCTTTGGTGCATGGACCTTTAATCTTTTGATATTGGTGTTGTTTTATGTGGTGATGGGGTATGAGTATGTTGGGAGAAAGGGGGGTCTTGGTAGGTTAGTTCTTGTTAGTATGCAAGTCTGACCTTTATGTAATTGTCATGTTAAGATTTATCTACGTTTTACTTTGCAAGAGAGGGACATTTGTTGCTTGTTAAGAGTACGTTAGTAAGTCTTCATAGGAACTATTAGCTACTGTATCTAATGAATAATAGTATTTTTTTGATTAGCAAGATTAAGAGTGTTAACCTAGAAAGCCTAGTATATGTATTAATGATAATTATCTATAATAATCTGTTAAAGGTATCTTGGTGGGGTCGCTAAAATCAGCCGTTGCCATCTGCTTCAGATCAACACTGCGGGGTAGCTGGTGTGACCTTCCATCTTCAGTCCCTTGTTCAATCAGCAGATCCCCACTTGACCCAGATTGCCACTTCACAATACTATAAATCTTCTTTCCGCTACATTTATATTTATAAGACTCCACTAACATGGATCAGCCTGACAAAGGTGGGAAGAAGGAAAGTGCAAAGGCCACAGTACAATTCCCCATTGCGAAGCCTGCGGCTGGGTCAACGACGGATCAACCCGCAGATAATAAGTCTGATATAAAGTAGTAGCGAACTCAGGGGTCGCAAGGAAAATCGACATGACACTATTACAACCCGATAAAGGAGGCAAAGGCGAGAGCGCAAAGGCAACCATACACTTACCTATGGCACACTCAATTGCAAAAGGATCCTCAGATGGTCATGCAACATCGGGAAACATCATCACATCTCAAAATGATCCTTATACTGCTGCACGAAAGTCCCTCGATCGCGACGGTTTCGTTGTCCTATCCGCTTCACTCTTCCCAACCTTTGATCTCGAAGCCCTCCGAACAGCAGCTTCCCGCATAACCGACGCAGCACGCTCAGGATCGTGGCCCTACATCCGCACTCTCCCCAAGCAATTTCCACCCTGGCCGCAAGACCCTTCAAACGGCATCTGGGGTGTCCAACACCTGCTCCACCCATCCAACCCGGAGCACCTAGTGTTTGCAAAATCCTACTTTGACAGCGAACTGCTCAAATACGTCGCAGCGCTTATCAACTGCTCGCAAGACGACTTGACCATGGAACTCTACAACATGCTCGTCCGACCCGACAACGACTTCAGTCTCCGCTGGCACCGCGACGACGTCCCTGCCACCGCTACACCAGAAGAAGAGCTCCAGCGGCTGCAAAAGCCCAGCTACCACGCACAATGGAACCTCGCGCTCTATGACGACCAGAGTCTAGTCCTCATACCCGGCTCCCACAGGCGCGCACGCACAGAGACAGAGCGCAACGCAGATCTATACCAGCCGCATTTACCAGATCAAATCGTAGTCAAGCTGAAGGCGGGTGAAGTGGCGTTTTACAACAATAACATCTTGCATCGGGGGGTGTATGATAGTAGTAAGGAGAGAATGACGCTGCATGGCAGTATTGGCACGGCGGCGGCGGGTGGACAGAGGGCAAGAAATGTGCTACAGCATGGGGTGGCGGAGTGGGCTAAGAAATATGACTTCAAAGGGTTTGAGCCTGAGATGGCGGAACGGGCGAGGAGGATGAGGGAGAGGCTCGTGGAATTGGGGAGGAGTAGTGGGGATGTGGGGTTCTTTTCTAGGGATGAGTGAGGGGTTTGGTTGTGGAGTGTGTCGATGGTTACGAAACGCTTTCAGATGTTACTGGTACCAGCAGGTGTCACGAACGAGGCTCGTTTCTTCTCGAATGCTGAGATTTAAACTTGACATGTGGCTTCACTTCCTAACAAAGCAGGTAATTAACTAATATAGTATATTTCTCCAACCTCACAGCATCCCTCGTTCAAATCCATCGTTATCCAAAATCAGCAAAGCGGGCCGCCCCCGCGTACCTGGAAAGAAAAACCCCCCCACCCCTACTCGGCTAAGTCAATCTAGCCCATGCACCACCCAAATCCCCATCCTTCTACACCAGAAGATTTTCTTCCATCCCCAACAACATTGCAATATACTACAACAACCGCATTTGCAGTGCATTTATATTGAAACTAACCAGCGTATCTTTCATCAATCAAATCATCTAGCATCGGTGGTTTAGTGGTAAAATTAGCCGTTGCCATCTGTATTCCAGATCAATTCGGCTAGCCCCGGGTTCGATTCCCGGCCGATGCAAGTCTTCCATGTTTTTGCTTTTTGTAAAGGTTCTGGGATGGATGGTGGTGGTTAGTTAAGGTTTTTTTTTGGTTAGTATGTTGGGTAAGTCGCATATGTCGGCGCGCATCGAGAAGACAGGATCCCTACTAGCAGTACAGTTCGAGTGGGAAGGAAATTAATAGAAATGTAGGATCAAGTAGTGGTTTTTATGCGATAGGTCTATACATTCATTTTTGGGTGCGGTCTATATATGAGAAACGAGGTCTGTGCCTTTTTAACAGCTAATTATACAAAACTAATGGTTGGCTGAGGATGTGAGGATTGTGTTATACTTTTGGAATGATTGGGCAACCAGGGAGTTCTGGCTTCCTGGAACTGTAAGTTGGAACGGGCTAATGCGGATATGGAGGAACTTGTAATTGAGGTCAAGGATTAAGTTTTGCATATGTGCATTGGAGCCGACATGACTACAGCTCGCGCTGTAATAGGGAGCCTAATACATGCATGGTGCGCGGAATTTTGCTGGAAGCCACTACGCTCCAATGATGAAGATGTGTTAGTGATGGTTGTTGCCCTGTGCATATCACGGTGCTATAACATATTCTGACTAAAGTGCGCAAGAAATACAAGTTCATTAAGAGCACCCTTATAGTTTCAAATCTATATACTACAGACACAAAGGTGTCTACTATTCCTTATAAATATCCGCATCAAACTTTGTGGGAAATCTTTCCCGCCCTTCTGCATCACTCCTCACCCAAACCGACACACTTGTTCCAGGACACTGGAACAGCCCAAAGCCCTCCCCATCAATCTCAACCTCACCTTGCTCCCAGCCCAAGACGTCCGTCCACTTCTCCCCAGCATGCATCTCACCCACCGCCATCTTGATCTCCCCAGGCCCAGCATTACTCATCACACACGCCAGTCCCGCCTTCTTATCCCACGTCCCACGACGCACGAATCCAATCAGATTAGGATTATCCCAGTAATCCTCTTGCTCGCCATACGCAAAGAGTTTGCGCGCAAGGATCAGGTCTGCAAGTTTGCCGCCACACGACGCGGGAGTCTCATGTGGTTCTGCAAGGCCGTAGAGATCGCCGTAAAAGGGGCAAGGGTAGCCGTCTTGCCTGAGGAGAATAAGGGCGTAGGCTAGCGGTTTGAAGAAGCCTTCAATCTTTGTCTCCATGACTTGGCCGGGTTGGGTATCGTGGTTTGTCACTACGGTAACAGCATCTGTGGGTCGTAACTGCACGAGTGTGTCGTCGAAGACTGTTCTCAAATCGCCACTTTCCGTTGTCGATATGCGGCCAAAGTTGTTGAGCAGTGGAGAGTCGTAGAGTGAGAATTTATAATGCATGTCGTCCAACCACCCACTCATCTCCGTGACATCTCCGCTCCAAAACTCGCCAACAACAAAGATGTCGTCCCCGCATTGTTCGCGCAGATTGTCAATCCACTCATTCGTAAACCGTTCGCTGAAATGCTGCACAGCGTCCAACCTAAACCCCTTGAGCCCCAACTCCTTGGTAATCCAAACTCCCCAATTCTTAACATCGGCAATGACCTCGGGATGCGAGTAATCCACATCCGCAAACATCATGTAATCCGCATTTCCAGACTCATCATCGACAGTCTGACTCCACCCCTTGTTGTCCCCCAAGATCTTGAAAATGGCTTTGCGTTCCGATGCCTGATCCCAATCCGTGCCTGAGAAATGCTCCCAATGGTACTTTTGCTTCGAGTACGTGTGGCCGCGACCAGGAAAGTCGAAACCCAGCCATCCCTCAATCTCAAACGCGTCGCTCGTTTCTTTCGTCCGGTCATTCTCGTCCACTTCAACGACTCTGCACTTCTCGGTTTGATCGGCACCAGCTTTGTGGTTGAGCACCGCGTCCCAATACAATCCCACGCCATGCTCTTTCGCCACTCTCGTCAGCTCGAGCAATTCATCTTTGGAGCCCCATTTTGTGGCTTTGGAGCCTTTTTGCTCGAATTCGCCTAGGTCGTACAGGTCGTAGATGTCGTAGCCGACACCTTTGGGGTTGGCGGCTTTGCAGCCGGGGGGCAGCCAGATGTTGTCGATGCCGATGGCTTTGAGTCTGGGGAGTTCAGCTATGAGGCGTTGCCAGTGTTTGTTGTCGGCTGGGACGTTCCATTCGAAGGCTTGGAAGAGGGTCCTGTTTTCGGGTGTGGGGGTTTGATCTTCTTGCGCCATGTTGGCGAACGGGATGATGGGATTTTGAAGGTGATTAATTCAGTGATGCGGTCCTCTTTGGCAGTGCAGTAAATTATCGAAACACTGGGTTGATTGATTGATTGGGGGGTTGGAAGTGTTTACAGACTATGACCTATAAACTTATTCAATTTTCAGCGCTTCCCTCCCAGTACCACGGTTCATATTTATGTCAGACTTGTAATTTTGCAGGCACCCCTGCATTCTAGGCCACGAGCAGGTTTTGTCCATCGTTTTCCCTGCGCATTGCTGAAATCCAAGGCCAGAGATACGTGTGCGTTGCCAAAACGGTCTGGAGCGGATGGGGCGGGCGTCCCTCAACAAAAAAAGTCGTTGTGACGTCAACATGCATCTAACAACCACCCCGTAAAACGAGTGTATCGTGACAGCGAGGACATGCTGTCTGGGCTAGGCATGTTTGTTAAGATAATAAAGACTGGAATGGATATCATATAGCGATCAGATTAGATTTCAGGAGTGATCGTCATGCTGTAGGAATTGCACCTGCCGCGCATATTGGGATGCGAAAGAGCCGCCAGCCACTAGATTGCATCGGGCCAGCAGTGCCAGCCTCTCACTCTGCGCCACCGTTTGGACAGGGTCTGGATTTTCTTATGGCTACCATGTTAACCTAGGTACTCTTGATTAGCAGCTGCATGTGAAACATACATACGCAATCGTAGGTATAATGCGAAGCTATGAAATCACATTTACATCTTTTCATGTTAAGTTGTAGCATTCGAGATTTGAAATTATGCAGGATAGCTTGTAGTCTTCATTAAAAGAAGAGATACACGTCGATTGATCACGAATCGTCTTGAAGCCTGGTGGAGACTGCCTATGTAGTATTGACATCAGCAACATCATCATCAACATCGATGTTTTCCCCGTTTCGAAACTTCAAGTAGACTAAACGTTGAAAATCAAATTATACAGGCTCATACTCTGACGGGCTACAATGCTGATGACGAGACAGCATGCCCTTTTCCTCGAAACTTGTAGGCATAACTTGGAGGACTGAGACGACAACATCACAATCGATGGAGAAGAACATGATCCTCCTGCCGAGCGACAGTCGTTCAGTGAGCGTTTCTAGAGCTCAACAGCACCTCTACTTTGCCCAAGTATGAGATCCGTTCGCATTACGTCTCGCAAGAAGGCCGTGTAGTACTGTAGTGACTCCTGTTCGGTTGACCAATACTATAGCAGAACTCTTGTAGTCGTATTAGTCAATTGTGAGATATTCATATAGTCCTGTTAGTGGATCCGTATAGATCCAACATGTCAAATCGACTGAAACTGTTTGTACGCCCAATTCAGTTCATAGATCCCTCCCCCCGCCCACCCCCCTCTCCCCCTCCTTGATCGATTCAGGAATTGTAGTATGTGAATACCATTGGTCAGGGTCAGGGTCAAACAATATCTGGAAATCTGGCCCAATCAAGCAATCGTCACCAACCAATAAGCAAGGACACTACACCTCATGTCGATACGAGTAACTGTCACGACGAAATCGGCGTTTGATGGCCAACTTGAAATGGATTTAGATGTCACTGTCGTACTTTCAGCCGTAAGGCGGGCTACGGGTGCACCAAAATCGAACGAGTCGCTGGTCCAATTGCTTGGATGATGAAAAGCAATTCTGCATACGGATGAGACTCGCAGTATTGGCCACCACTATCATCGGCGGCGTGGGATTCTATGTATTGGCTTGGTTTTGAAAGCGTGTGATGTTGTTTAGCGTAAATCGCATAACTAAATTCTTATGTATACCATCCATGGTGCTGAAGTTACAGGACAGACGATTATGCACGACCACATAACGTTTCTCGATCTTAGCCACCTGATCCTCCCGGACCGGCGATAAAGTTTCGATTTGAAGACATTAGAAAGGTGAAGCATACAGGGCGGAATGCTGCTATGCCGAGCAGAACCTCTCGGGTAATAATCACTTGGAAAAGAAGATATGCCAAGTACCGCCAAGTGCTCTTCCCTGCACCGCGGGCGATCATGAGGGCGAGCTGATCAATGTACCACAGAGGCGAATGCAACGCTGACTGCGCCAGGCCTGCCTCGGTAACTCTTGTGTTAAGGCATTCTGAATATGACGTAGATGCTTGCTTATATCGCCATGGGACATATTATAGCTTCCAACGTAACAGTATCGACCTTCTGATAGGCATGTTGGTGAGGCGTAGCACCTGGTGCATATACTACTTAGTAACAGTCAAACCGCGACATTGGCAGGTGAAAGGAAGATCTTCCCACATATCTCGTGCTTTCTGAATCGTCTCAGCATCACCATCAACAAGATCTCTCTTTCCACTACTATTAGCATCCGAAAACACCCCGACCATGAGACTAAGTCAATTATCATGTATCGTGGTCCCTCTTTCCGTATCAGCACAAGCACAAGGACACGCTTGGGAACGAATCGGTAGTAATAGGGCCGGATCTGGGTCTGACGAAGCTCTTCGGATATACGAAGAGGCTGGACAGAATCCTAATGCGAGCGACATAGTCACCTTCGCTCAATCTTTTAACAACACACCAGAGGATTGGAAATGGCGCATCAATATCAGCGAGATAGCTGTCCCGAATGATTTGAACGATCTCGGCCTGGCGAATGCGAACTTTTCTGAAGGACTTCATGTCGTCCACACCCAATGGCAGTTGGAATGGCCAGGAGAGGAAGATGATCTTCGATCATTCATAAGGTCTCGGAACATAGATCGTCTTGATTTTAGCGCGTTGATGGCAAGAGTGGAGTCCAATTTGACAG